TCTTCTTTTTTCCAACTTTTTTGCATAGTAGATTCTTGTTGTTGTTGTTGTTAAGAGAAATATCAATTTGTCTTTATTTCTGTCTAATTTTAGATTATGCGTTCCAAGTAGGAAGGTTTCTGGTTTTCTGGGGATTTCGATTTCTAATATTTCTTGTATTTTTTTCTGAATCCTCTTCCAATATTTTTTTGCTTTGCTACATGACCACCACATGTGGTAGTATGTTCCTTCTGTTTCGCCACATTTCCAGCTCTTAGTATTCGTATTTTTGTAGCATTTCCCTAGTTTATGTGGTGCAAGTTTTAGCAGCAACACTGCTTCTTTTGACCCTCAAAAATATTAAGAGCAGGCAGCTCTTTTTTAATGCCCATTACCAACCAACCCATCAAAACCAGCAAAATATAACCTTGCAAAATTACTAGCCAAAGGAAGCATTTCAGTGGTTCCTCCTACACATTCTTTAATATTCTTTCCTGTCATAGAAAAACTCTGCTAGCACAGCCATTGTACCATCTACCTTCATTGTGAGATATCTGAGCTGTTTGAAGAACTTGTACTATAATGGACCCAGCTGTTTTCCTGTTGTCCTTTGAACCTGTCACATCATGTTCAGGGCTGGAGGGTGTCCCACACACATCATTGTATAAATAAACAGTTGTGCCTCTGTGACAGGAAGGCTTTGCTAATTGCCAGTCTGACAGCTACTTTCCGAAATTATGGATCTCCTTCTAGGACAGTAGTTCTCAACCTTCCTAATGTCATTAATACAGTTCCGCATATTGTGGTGATCCCAAACCATAAAATAATTTTGTTGCTACTTCATAACTGTCATTTGGCTACTCCTATGAATTGTAATGTAAATATCTGATATGCAGGATGTATTTTAATTCACTGGATGAAATTTGTCACAAATACCCGATGTGCTGTCGCACGCTGGGCCTGTGCATAAGACTGTAGACAGGACATAAATTCTGTGTGCCCAACGGGACACCGGGGCTGCCTCAGATTAAAGGCCCTTGGATTTCCTTAAAACAGAGTCTTTAGATTGCTTAAAGGTTCAACAAAGTTCTTTATTAATGAAAACAAACAGGTACTTTAAAGCTTTCTTAACAGTCTATTGGCTCTCTCTCAATCTTGTCCTCGGGGAACAGGCACTATCTTCATAACTGTAACTAATGGGGAAATCCTTAACTTCTAATCTGGGCAGTCTGTCTTTGCCTCTGTTGGCATGGAGCCCCTGCACCTGGTACCAACTGCTTCTGGCTTCTGCGAGTGACCCTTACCAAGCAGAGCTTTGTAGACTTCCAGGGAAAAGGAGTTCAGGTTTCAGTGATGGCTGACTGAAGTCCCTCAGCAAAGGAGCTGTAAGGCTGTATGATCCTCGGCCAAGCTGTAGGCTGTATAACCCCGGGCAAGCTGTAGAAGACGAAGCTTTCTACAGGAGCTCTTGGTATTATGTCCTGCATGGAAAAGCTTCTCTGTGTGGACTGACCCAAAAAGGCTCCTATTCCCTCCAAAAACCCAAAGGGGGCGGGACCAGGGAACCTAACTATAATTGACAGGTGGCTTGCCCTATGATTGCAGCCAAAAGAAGCCACCTATCTGCAGAGTCCCTGAAACTTAGGACTATAACAAACATTAAATGCAAAGCAAACAAAATTGGAGCTCCTGGTACAGCTGTACCTGCACACCCGATACGCCCAAATTTGAATACTGATGGGGCTGAGGGGGGTTGATTTTGTCATTTGGGAGTTGTGGTTGCTGGGATTTATAGTTCATCTACAATCAGAGAGCATTCTGAACTCCACCAATGATGGAATTGAACCAAACTTGACACACAGAACTCCCCTAAGACCAACAGAAAATACTGGAAGGGTTTGGTGGGCATTGACCTTGAGTTTTGGAATTGTAGTTCACCTACATCCAGAGAGCACTCAAACAATGATGGATCTGGACCAAACTTGGCACAAATACTCAATATGCCCAAATGTGAACACTGGTGGAGTTTGGGGAAAATAGACCTTGACATTTGGGAGTTGTAGTTGCTGGGATTTATAGTTCACCTACAATCAAAGAGCATTCTGAACCCCACCAACAAAAGAATTGGGCCAAACTTCCCACACAGAACCCCCATGACCAATAAAATACAGTGTTTTCTGATGGTCTTTGGCGACTCCTCTGACACCCCCCTCGCAACCTCCCCAGGGGTCCCGACCCCCAGGTTGAGAAACGCAATCCTAGGGTATTAGCATATGCTTCAGTTTTGAATGAGCTTGATCATCATACACAAAGGACTGTGCTTTTTATCTAAGCTTTCTTACAGTTGTAAAAAACTTGGTAGGAGAAAAGTATAACTGAAGGTATTTTGAAAGCATGCCATTGTAATGCATTGCCATAGTGAATTACCTTTATCCCATCCCAAAACGTTTCCCAATTGGCCCTTTTGCCTGAAACTCCTCATACAGGAGGAGCGCAAAACACCAAGATAAAACAGGAAAAGCTCTGAAGAAAACTTCCTCATCAGCTGCAGAGACCGTATGCTGAAGGTTGCAGGACAACTGGGATGCGACAGAAACAGGAAGCTGTAGGCAGTAGATTGAAACAAGGCATTCTGCCCCTGAGCTTGAATGAACCAGCCAGTTCTTCACCGTGGGTTTCTTGTCATTTGTGTCGCAGCTTTCCCAGGGAATGTGAATACAGAGTAGGAGGTTGGGCTTTTTACTATTATGATTCAGGGCTTTTGTTCATTTATGATTGTTTACTCCAGCAGGAGAGCCCTACTATGGCCTTTTTGTCCCATTGCCTTCTCCAGCTGGTGCGCCACTCTCACATCACATGGGCAACATTCTTGTTTGGACCCTTGCAGACAAGAAACTATTCTTTTATTGACATTCCTCTTGTCCCTCGACTGATAAATAAATAAGCAGGCCATGTGATTTCCAAGGGTTCAGCAGTCCGTTTTCTTTGTGGTGATATTATTCAGTCAAGCTGGAATTTGGAAAAGAAAAACACATGGGTTTTGGATCCAACAAATTGACTATGAATGAGAAGAACCTTTGGGAAGGGATGAGGCAGAGGAAGACCACTGCCTCAGTTGGCAGATGCGGTTATCATCTGGGGCAGCCCTCCTTGTTTTTTAGCATCATAAATTAGTCTGTTATCTTGGAATGGATGATGCCATCTTGCTAACAATGTTGAAATGAGATTCAGTTTTCAATCCAGCTGAAGTATGTACAGGAATGTTGGGGAGGAATCCATTTCTTTTTTGCCCCCGAAAAGAAATGGTTGTCGGTTGTCCTTTGACATTATCAGCCGAAAGCATCACCTGCTTGGTGATGTGTAAGATCCAGGTTTGTGACCCGAGAAATGTATTTTCAATCAAAAACAATTCTGAGCTGAACTGAATCATTTTCTGCCCTTTTACAATCCTTAGATAGTTTTCATTAGAACATATCAATGTTACTGTGGGGGCCATGGCTTTGCATGGAGATAGTCCCTACATCATTATCTTGGAATCTCTAGGCAAAGGCTCAGGAAGCAGGGAATGAGAAAGATCATTGCCTGAGACGTTCGTGAGCAGCGGCCAGTTCCTGAATGTGTGGCCATCATGGAGCCCTCTGGATGATGTTGGACTGCACCTCCCAACATTCCTCACTATCAGCTCTGTTGCTGCTGGGAGCAGCAGCTTTATTGTTTCTAGAGCCTCACAGATTGTACCTCACTGTAGAGTCTGCACAATGTAAAGAATGGTGGGTTTGATAGACCAGTCCTGACAGTGGGCTGCTTCTCTAGGATATAGTTCATTCTTAGGCTGAGATTGCCAAGGAACCATAATCACCCATTGTTAAAGGCAAGTGTAGATTAACACTGAAACGAAAGCCATGTCACAGTGATGGCATTGATGCTGCAGAACATGTAACAGCAGAAGATCCAGAGTCCTGGGGATGAATACTAGGCTCAGGATACAGGCTTACCGGAGCTGGAGATTGAATTCAAGTGTACACTAACTAGGCAAGAGAAGCCAATAGAAGGCAACTTGAAAGATGCTTCCTGTAGCTTCAAGTAGCTAAGAGCTATGTAGATTTGTTATTGCTACTCCTCCTTCGTAATTAAGCATCAATCAGATATAACACGGCTCCGGCCCAAAATACCTTTCAGACCGCATCTTGGCCTATGAGCCCACGAGGACCTTGAGATCGTCTGGGGAGGCCCTTCTCTCGATCCCGCCTGCCCCACAGGCACGCCTGGCGGGGACGAGAGAGAGGGCCTTCTCAGTGGTGGCCCCCCGGCTGTGGAACACTCTCCCTACAGACATCAGGCAGGCGCCCTCCCTTTTGTCCTTCCGAAAAAGCCTCAAGACGTGGCTGTTCGAGAGGGCATTTAATTAAGTGCTATAGTAATGTGGTAAAGACGACTGGAATGGTACAAGGAATACGAGATTGGTCACGATTCTATTACGAGACGAAGCGGTTTAGTTAGTGTAATTTTAACTGTTGTATTGTTATATTGCTAATATGTTGTTTGTAATTGCTTTGGTGTGAATTGCTTTTTGTACTGTACACCGCCGTGAGTCGCCCGAGTGGGCTGAGAATGGCGGTTAATAAATGAACCAAATAAATAAATAAATAAATAAATAAAATAACAGGCTGAGATGTTCTGACTGGACTAAGGTGAAGTGGGGAATGTGAAGCTCTGGTTGCATACAAATACAAAGCCCTGGTTGCATACAAATAGGCACCTTGTAGTTCTCCAGATGTTACAGGATGCTGAGTCCTATCATCTCTCCTTATTGGGTATCTAAGGAAACCTGATAGACTAGCTGGTGCCCATGCTGGGAGCTGTAGTTCTAACTTTTCTAAATTCTGAAACTAAAGGGCGATAAACCTCACCCATGCATTAATCACATCTTTCTTTAAATATCTAGATTTCAGTGTACTGTTCTGAAAGTGTATGCATGTGTGTGCACATCTGTTCATATACATCTCTAAATTTGTTTACAGTGGGAACCAAACTAGAAGATTCCGTACAGCCCAGCCCACAGCACTCAACATTTTCTGTGCTGGAAATCTTCAAGAAGACAGAGGTCACAGACATTGTCCCTGAGGTCACGGTCGCAGGTGTTGAGGAATCACCATGTAACCTGTCTGAACCTTCCCTTTAGGTTCTGCTACCAGAGGTGTGGGCCGGGCATCAGCAAGTTATTTTGTTCTGAAGACATGCCCTCACATTAGTATAACCCTGGTATTGCCTCGTAGTCAAGGGGCAAAATTGTGTCAGAGCACATATCCTCATCTATTGTAACAAGATTATAGTTGAGCCTTTTAGAAATAGATGTGTAAGCTCAGCGGTAGGTTTTTCCCTCCCGTGGAACCCATTGCATGGCACACAGGCTTCCACAACAGACGCTGACCAGAAACCCACTTCTGTAAGCTTTTGAGTGGAAGGGTGCATTTTGTTTTCAAAGAGAACTTTCACACCTTGGAGGCTTTGAGGAATGACAGTTGCTTTCACAGAAGGAGTAACCCATCTCTCCCTAAAGCCAACCTTTTTTGCCTTTGACAGCAGAATGCTGCAGCTTCCCCATCACTTTTTGTGTTAAAAGTGTTCTGGGTATAGTGGAGAATTGGAACAGGCCAAAAAGTGATTAGTGATGCAGTGACTAGCTGAAGCTCTCATCACTTGGATCAAGGGAGGGGAAGGCTCATCCATGCCCATCAGAATATGAGTAGCACCCCAAAAGTGATTGGAAGACCATGGTTTCCAACCAAATTCTGGCTGGTAACAAGATCCTCCATCAGATTGTGGGGAACATTTTGCCTTCTGGATGTTTGGTGGCATAACTAACATAACCCCTTCCAGAGTAATGAAATGTCTTAGAAACAACACAGGGTTTGGTTTGGAACAGCGCTCTAGCTGTATTATTATCAATATCTTTAATGTTGTGATCTTCAATTTAATCAATGACATTATTTTCAGAGCAATTGGGAGCGGTCACACAAGAGTCCAGACACTGCATGTGGTCCCCAAGACCCCCATTGAGATCTCAAATGGTGATCCCCTCCAAGCCCACTACATTTCAAAATAGGACCCAAGAAACTCAGCCTTTCCAAAGGCAAAAAGAAAGCCCCAAACTTCTGAAACTTCTTGTTTTATCCCCCAGAACTGTTGGAAGGTGGCTGCTCATGAGGGTAGACCTTGCAGCAGCCACATTAAGAGCTTTTAACTGTGCATTCTTGAAATATCCTCAGATTATAAAGGCAGAAACTGATTTCACAAACATTGAACAATACTTGAAATGACTCCTACCCCACCATCCTCTTTTGTATTCTATAGGATGAACGAAGTGTCCAGTGAGCAAGACTATGACCCATAGCAACTGCATCTTTTTCAAATATTAGAAGCTCCTATTTGACTTAAAAACATGCCAAAACCAAAATAACCAGAACATTGTAAGTAAATAGTAAAGCCTTTATTTTATTTTGTTTTGTTTCATTTTTGTTAAGAACAGCGTTTTTGAAAATAAAATGTATTTTTGCCCATGCTTTACAATTTGTGGGGTTTTGTTTGTTTTGTTTAATTCCATATCCTTATGTATAGTCATTATGGTACACATTGATTGTCTTGAAAACCTGCCCCCCCACCCCAATGTACAAGATTAAATGGTAGGCAAACATCAGCAGGATGGGGAAAGGGGAACATTTATAAACAAAACACACACACATTAATACATTTAATAAATATATATATATAGATTATTCCAAAAGAAAGGAGAGAGAGAGAGACTTAACTCCCATCAGTTAAAAAAAGCACCTGCTAAGTAATCTGGTAAGACAGTTGACTAGTTATTGATTTTTGAAATAAAAGCTACGTCTGCTTCTAGTTTTATTGCCTTTGGTTAGAACTGAGGTCTCAAAGCACTGAGTTGGCCAAATAGGAAAACATACCTTAACTTTTGAAACATACCTTTCCCTGCCTGGAATAACTTCAGGTCCCGGACCTTCCTTCCTTCGAGCACCAAAGGGCTGATGGAGAGGAAAGAACCTTTTATCCAGGTGGTAAAAGCCGGTGAATGGGAAATAGGGCAGTGTGCCACTAGTGCATGCTCATCGCTCAGAGACAATGGCTTTGGTCCAAAACACTGCGCTCTGTGCATGCCTACCTGTCTTATTAATCCAGACAAATGAATAAATGGGTACAATTTACAAGAAATCAAGATTGGTTGACATACGAAACTGTCTTAAACAGGCTTCAAATAATTCTTAATTTTCCCTATGGGACCCGGTTCTACTAAATGTCATGGCACTGGGCTACCGGCTTCAAACCAATGCAGGTTGCTTTATTGACAAAGAAGACACAATCCTCTAAGTAACAGTGGGAAGCAAACAGAACTTAGCTTTGCAAATTAAGCATCAAAACAGTATATATTACACACTAATCTGCCTTGGTTCCTAACTATGGCTCCTACTTAATAACAGTCTAGAACTTCCAGAAGATCTACGTGGCCTGCCAATGGTGATGGTTTCTAACTGCCAATGGTGGTGATTTCTAACTGCCAATGGTGGTGGTCTCTAACTGCCAATGGTGATGGTTTCCCGATTTGTGGAAAACGATAGTTTAGGAATCACTGCCTTGAAGTATTGAAAAGCCTCTGCCACCTCAGTCAAATTATTATTCGGCAATAAAGCGAAGAATATAGTAGCTTTTACACTTTCCAAAGTAAAATATTGTGAAATAGTTGTGCTTAACTGTTGTGGAGTTAAATGTTGCTCACCAGATGCTCTACATTCACCATCACTTTCATCAAAAGGCAAAAAAACTCTATTAACTTTTACATTAAAAAACAAAACAAGTTAAACAAAACGTGCTTTTTTAAAATGTCCAGTGACATTTTATGGTGGTGGCGATATCAGACACAACAAACCACAGACTGACTCAAAGAAAATTCCGGGGAAACAAAAGCATCCCTTTTTATAGCTTAATCAGTGGGCCTCCCACCATTACGAAGCATGGACCGGGTCCACATGTGTAGTGAAGGGAAGTCCTGTGTTTGCAGGATCCAGCCCTGCCTTTCAGATCCCCAACTGCCATTGAATTAACTGGGAGCAGGATTGCTAAATCCCTTCCTGTCTAAAAAAAGAAAACAAATGGAAACAACTCAATACACGTCCGAACGAAGATGTCTATCTTTAAGCCACCCCCAAATCAAAAAGGAAATAATTTCCATCTCTAAAAAAGATATTATCACCATCCAGCTAGAAAATAAGGTTTTATTGCTCACCATTTTTGCCATGTTCATCTTATGCATTTTTATATTAAAAAGTGTTTCAAGTGCAATTTTGCTTTTAAAAAAGTCTCACACATGCATGTGGGAAAAGTCCCAGATAAGGTCTTTATATAATGCTACACTTTCATGTTTCCTGGGATACCCAACTATTTGCTCACAATGAAAAATACAGCATTTTTTTCCTCAAGTGCTAGAACAGGGGTTTCTAGAATATTGGGTAGCATGCAATACCCGCTGTTTGTCCCCCCATTTTTCTCTCTTCTTATTATATCAACTTCTTTCATAAATCTGTCGAATAAATATGTATTCATTTACTAAATGCACTAATGCAGTTCTTTCCTCTTGATCATCTCAGATGAAAACAACATTGAGTTGATAGTTTGTTGTAGAAAAAAATGGTGTTAACAATTCAATAATTAGAAAAAAATACATGTGAAATGATCATGGCAGTAACAGCAATGCAGTTTTTTAGAACAGTTAAGAGTCTGACAAGTACAATTTGATCTTGCACCAGATTTCAGTAATAAGTAAATCAGTTGCAGTCAGTGAGGTTATCCATGTAAGTAAGGCCTTAGTTCTCCTTAAGATGCTGCTAATGCTGTACCTATTTCAGACTGCAGGCAGGGCATCTTAATCATGTGCATTTATGTTTTAAGCATGAATTTTAAACTCATGTCATGTGTTTTGGTCTCTGTCCTGTGTGATTAGTATGTATTTTACAGAAATCCTTTGATCAGTATCATTTATGGAACCGAATTTTAATGTGTGTTTGTAGAATTCTTATAGTATTTGTGTTTTTCTAACTGTGCTGTGACCCGTCTTGAGCTGTGGGGAGAGGTGGGTAAGAAATAAAATTGTTGTTGTTGTTGTTAATATTATTATGTTGTTGTTGTTGTCAAAGGCTTTCATGGCCGGAATCACTGGATTGCTGTGAGTTTTCCGGGCTGTATGGCCATATTCCAGAGAGAATGCTTCTGGAACATGGCCATGTAGTCCAGAAAACTCATAGCAACCCATTATTATTGTTATTTCAGGACTTCTTGCTCTTCTTTTTCTAACTGGGATTCTCAAGATTTAGAAGATTTTAGAAAACTAATATAGAAAACCACAATACAATATAGTCAAGTATTGAATACCATAACATCACTTCATTCCACCCGAAAACTACATAGCTGGAAGACTGAAGCATAAAGCAAGACAGAAGCTTCCCAGATCAGACAAGAAGTCTGCAGCGAAAGATCATAAGTGAAGGCATAAAACCAGTCTTTTAGGGAGCTTTTCCATTTTACAGGAAGCTGGAGTACGACACATACTCTGCAGACTGGAATGCATAGAGAGAAGCCCTTTTCCTTCTTCCATTCATCTGCACTCTGGCCCAGCAAGGCTTCCCCAAGTTATAACCTGGGAAGGTTTTCAATGCCTCCTAAGCATTTGAAGATAATGCAGCACTGACTAGTTTTTTATTATTACTTTTGGATCTAGAGAAGAAGGAATGCTTAGAAAAATCGCTTTGGGTTACCAATACCTAAAGTTTGTCAGCCCACTCTGAAATATACATCAGAAGTTGCCTTATATTAAATTGTTTGTGTGTCTAGCAGAGTATTGTCTACTTTGAGATGGGTCCCCAGGTTTGTAGGCAAATTTCTCCTTGCCCAGTCTTCCTGCGAGGCAGGGCTCTTCTCCTTCCCCAACAAAGCAGAAACCTATGGAGTGAGAACAAGCATGGAAGTAGTTCAAGGCAGCATGTCGAGCCTATAAAACAGGCATAGGCCAACTTCAGCCCTCCAGGTGTTCTGGACTTCAACTCCCACAATTCCTAACAATCGGTAAGATGTTAGGAATTGTGGGAGTTGAAATCCAAAACACCTGAAAGGCCGAAGTTGGCCCATGCCTACTGTAGAAGCTTCAAAACACTCTTCCTTCATGTTTTTATTTATCTCCACCTGAGAATCTATGTAGAAAAAAATCCCAAATTCTACACCTATAAAAAAGCAGCATGGTATTTATTCCTTGACATGACGATTTTCTATATGTTTATAGAAAATTAGATTAAACGAGTCCCGTTCTGCAGTTCAAAAATAGTACTGCCTTGAAAATATGTTGACCATGCCAGTGAGAACTGGGCTAAATTCTATTGGATCGAATACATAAAAGAGTAAAATATTAGGTACAAGGAGAGCTAGAGACCTTTCTTGGGGAAAATTCAGTTACTTACATTGGATAACCTTGAAAATCTACTGAGTTGCTTTATTTATTTATACATTATAATTTTTAATTGACATTTGGTAATGTAACATATGGTTAGAACAAACAAACAAACAAAAAGAATTGGCTTTCTCATATAATGCAAAATAAACACACTCACACAAGCAAACCTTAATTGCATTTAGTCTCTAGGAAAGCAAGAGAGCAATGCCGGCCAGCACAGAGGATGCAAATGATGGCTCGCATGCCCGATATGTATTCGATGCTAAACAATGAAGGAATGCTTTGCCAAATATTAAAATCATAGAAATGTGAAAAGGCAGCAGGAACATGGCAGTTTCTAGGAAAGGACACATCTTTCCCAAACGCCCATATATAATCCCATTTCTTTTCGTTTTTTTTAAAAATGCTCCATAAAAGTACACACAAATAAATGCAAGGAAATGCACAAACCATTGCAGTCAATGAGGCTTCAGTGTTAAACTGGGGGTGGGAGGGTGGCAGCAAGCAAAGGGAGGGGGGATTTATTGTATACAAGTGAAGTGACCCCCATCAAGAGGCACCTGAACATTTCTCATTTTCAAGGAACACCTTATAGGGATGGGGAAAGATACACGCATGTTCTTTCTTTCTTTCTGCTTAGGGCAGTGGGACTTGAGGTAGGCCACGTGTCCCTTTTGTGCTGCTCACATCACTCAGGACCCCCATCATTTCCTTTCTCCTTCATCCTACTCTCCAATAGCCCAACGTGGCACCAAGCCATTTGTGTTGTGACTGTATGGGCAAAAGAGGCAAAGCCAAAGCTCCCCAAGCTCTGCTGTGCACACCTTCCTGTTCCACTTCCCTCCCGAAGAAAGGAAGCAGACCCGCAACCAGGACTAAAGCCTGCTCTGGGTCACTCCTCTTCTTTTTCTTTGCCTTCTTGCTTTTTTAGAAACAGAGCGGACTACAAATGAGCCAACCTCAGCTTCTAAGGGAATTCTCACCTTTTTGCTTTTCCTCCCCCAAAGCTCACATTCGGAAACCCAACCAGCACATGGGACATAAGCTTTGCTGTGAAGGAAGCCACTGAAAAGGTCCCACCTGAGGAGCATTGCTCATTCTAGGTGAACAACCATATGGGCAGGAACGGGAGTGTCTCAGGCTCTTTACTCATTGCAAAGGTGGCAGATGGAAGTTGAAGGACCACCTGCGCAAGGGGAGACTTCATTGGGACCAAAGCCAAGAAGGGACTGCACTGCAAAGCAGTGGGTGACCACAGGAAGTCCAGGATCACTCCCTTCTGCGTACTGGCTCCAGCTGAACGCTGCATTGCCCCGTGAGAAAATCCCACATCTCCTTTCTCCCACATATTGAAAAAGAATGTGCCTATATCTATATTTGTTGTTTAGTTTCAGCTTATGTTTCAGAGGTTTTGCTTTGTCAGAGGTTTTGCTCTCATGGTTAGCTGGTCAATTCAACAGTGCTCACATTTGTATTTATTTTTCACCAAAAAAAAAAAAAAGCCGTCCGTCCCAGGACTCCCGCGATCCCAGGTGGGTTTTCTGCTCTCCTGGTTTCTTTTGCTAGTATTATTGGCTCCTTCCCACAGAAAGACACACACTGCTCGGGAATGAAACCTGTTAATGGATTCTCTCTCTTTTTTTCTCTCTCTCTCAGCCTATAAGATTTTTCACCAGAGGTGTCTTCCAGTGTAACTTGGTGGAGCAGTTGGAATCTGGAAATAAGGATAACACAGCCATATAACTAAGCATTCTAATGTGTTGAGGAATCACTGTTGTAAAGAAAAGGTTCTATTATACACACAAACACCATTTAATATCACAATGATATAGAATGCTAGTGGCTGCACAGCATCATAGCTCTTCGTGAGGTAGTCAATTGGTTTTTGTTTTTTTTTTTTTTGTCGTGTCAGGAGCAACCGCTCCTGTTGTGAGAGAATTGGCCGTCTGCAAGGACGTTGCCCAGGGGACGCCTGGATGATTTTTGATGTTTTATCATCCATGTGGGAGGCTTCTCTCATGTCCCCGCATGAGGAGCTGGAGCTAATAGAGGGAGCTCATCCGCCTCTCCCCGGATTCGAACCTGCGAACTGTCGGTCTTCAGTCCTGCCGGCACAGTGCTTTAACCCACTGTGCCACCGGGGGCTCCAGTCAATTGGTGTTTCAGCTATATCTGTTCAGAGTCGGGGGGGGGGGGCAGGGATGATTTGAAGCTCATTATTATAGGAGATACATATGATGCTCCTCAGCCTTTTAGCAAGCCGAACCAATCAAACCCAATAGTCTACACTCTAGCCGATTATACTACTCTCCAGGATGGTCGGGCAGAAATCTTTGAGGATGCCTGTGCCAGTTTTTTTGTGTCAGAGGTGATTTGAGAAACTGCAAGTCGCTTCTGGTGTGAGAGAATTCACCGTCTGCTAGGATGTTGCCCAGGAGATGCCCTGGTGTTTTTGATGTTTTACCTTCCTTGTGGGAGGCTTCTCTCATGTCCCCGCATGGGGAACTGGAGCTGATAGAGGGAGCTCATCTGCGCTCTCCGCAGATTCAAACATACGACTTGTCAGGCTTTAGTCCTGCCTACCGGCACAAGGATTTAACCCACTGCGCCACCAGGGGCTCCAAGAAATGAGCATAAAACAATTCTAATGTTTGGAAGTGTGGCACTGTAAAGTGTTGTCTTCCAAACTTCTGTCATGCAACAAGTTAGGGATCAACAGCCTGTGCCACTGTGATGTGGCATTATCTGAGCAGTTTAGCCCAATGGCCTTCAGCCTTTAGCCTGAACAATGTTTTGCACTCTCTGCCCATTGGCCATGCCTGCTGGATCTCCAGGAAGCTAGAGAAGTTTAAAGACTGAAAACCAGCGTTCTTCTTCGTGGTCCCTGATTCTGCTGCTGCTGCAACCTGAGGGGCAAATGTCTACTCTTCAAGTTGAGTAGTCTTCACTGTGATGAGATTGTTCTCGGCACAGACATTTCAGTTTTGCTTAAAGTTGTATCATCATCACCAGGACTGTATGACCTGCATTCGTAGAGAATCCTGCTACAGAACTGGTAATTGGAATTTCCTGGACATCAGAAGGACTTTAGCCCTCTAGGTTGATAAGACACCTGGCTCATGCAGATGACAAAGACTTTTAGTCTGCTACTGTTCATCAAAGCTAGGACTGAAGTTCTGGTGGCAATGCTCTGGGAAATAGGTAGTTTCCGTGTTGATTGAGATTTTGCCAGGGCAGTTGTTGCATTCTTTTGCTTTCCTGAGTGGCACAGACATAAGGCCCTTCTACACTGCCATATAATCCAGAATATCAAGGCAGATAATCCACATTATCTGCTTTGAACTGGATTATACGAGTCTACACAGCCATATAATTCAGTTCAAAGCAGATAATTTGGATTTTATAGAGCTGTGTGGAAGGGGCCTTGGATGGTGGATGCACGGGTGTTGTGTGGTCCCAACCTCTTAACATGCATTTCTCATTACAGACTACCTACTGGGTCCAGGACAGATGCTGCCTTTGGAAGGACAGTGTTCTTATGTTTGGAATAATGATTGGGAGGCCTCTGAGGAGCTGCAGTGGTGCAGTGAGTTAAACCTTTGTGCTGCTGAACTGCTGACTTGAAGGTTGGCAGTTCAGATCCATGGGTTGGGGTGAGCTCCTGCTTGTAGCCCCAGCTCCTGCCAACCTAGCAGTCCGAAAACATGGAAATGTGGATAGATCAATAGGTACTGCCTCGGTGGGAAGACAAACAGGTACTCCAAGCAGTCATGCTGGCCACACAACCAGGAGGTGTCTATGGACAACACAGGCTCCACGGCTTGGAAATGAAGATGAGCACTTCCCCCAGACCCAGAGTTGAACACTGCCTCCAGAAGTTGGAAATGAAAGGGGAAGCTTTTGCCTTTTCTATTATTTTCTTTCTCACTGTATCAAGGCATTGAATATTTGCCTGTGTTTGTGTTTGTATATATGCTGTAATCTGGTCTGAGTCCACTCAGGAAGATAGGGCAGAATATAAATAAAGTGTTGTTAATACTATATTATCATCATCATCATCTATATCATGATATTCCCACTTCCTAAGTTTAATAGCTTGCTACTCTCCCATTTATGACTCCTGGAGGCCACGAAGAAGCAGGACAGGTTGCATGCCTCTAACTGTAGTTCTTTGAGTGATCATTTGTGGACTCATACAACCCATCCATCCCCCCTTTGTCATGGCCTGCTTCCCTTCGCTCTCTCAATGCTGTTGTTGCAGCCGATGGAGTTAAAGGTTTTGGGGAAACCACAGTGATATAGTGCCTAGAGGCCAAAAAACTTACGTAACTGATGAACACTTGCAGAACTAAAACTCAGGCTTTCAATCCGTCATTCTAGATTATCTTTTCCCCAGACACACTAATTTGCTGCATGTAGTGTTTCATATTTGGAGGAACATTCAAATCATACAACCCCTCAGTTATAATCTGGAAGTGGTACAGCATGAACACCTATGTGTACAGTGTAATGATGTAGACAAGCTTTTCAAAAAAGTTGAAACCTCGGTATTGTTATATGGAACTGTCCAATCTAATGTTGACTTTTATGATATACTGTTGAGGATTGAGAAACCAGGGCTTCCAAATGTTGAATACAACTCCTACCATGAACAAGGCTAGCATAATCTAAAACAGGCATGGGCAAACTTCGGCCCTCCAAGTGTTTTGGACTTCAACTCCCACCATTCCTAATAGCCTCAGGCCCCTTCCTGAGGCTGTTGGGAATGGTGGGAGTTGAAGTCCAAACGTCTGAAGGGCCGAAGTTTGCCCATGCAAGTTTGATACCATTTGTGAGTGCCACAGCTCCATCATAAAACATCCAAGCATATATAGTCCAATGAGGTGTGTTACAGTGCTGGAACTCTTCATCAGACAATTTTTATACTCCCCCTAATGACAAATCCTAGTAGGATAGTACTGTGACAAATAAAGTGGTACCAAACTGGGTTGCTGTGATTTTTTTGGGCTGTATAGCCATGTTTCCTGTAGCATTCTCTCTCGATGTTTTGCCTGCATCTGTAGCTAATGGCATCTTCAGAGGTCTGATGCTAATGAGGCAAGTGGAGTGTATATATGTCCAGGGTGGGAGAAAGAACCCTTGTCTGTTTGAAGCAAGTGTGAATGTTGCAGTTAGCAAGCTTGAATAGCGTTAAGTAGCTATGAAGCTGCAAAGTCAATCAGTGAGGGTATCTGCATAGAGGTATCTTGGCTGTTGTGCCTGGAGGCACCTTTTGTTTGGGAGGTGTTCACTGGCACTTGGTTGTTTGCTGTCTGAATTCCCCTGTTTCTGTGTGGTGTTCTTTATTTAGCATTGAGTAGCCTTGCAGCTGCAAAGTCAATCACTGAGAGTATTTGCATAGAGGAAGCTTGGTTGTTGTGCTTGGAGGCATCCTCTGTTTGGGAGATTTTAACTGGCACTTAGTTGTTTGCTTTCTGGAATTCCCCTGTTTTTGAGTGGTGTTCTTTGTTTACTGTCTTGATTCTGGTGTTTTTAATACTGGTAACCAGATTGTGTTCATTTTCATGGTTTCCTCCTTTCTATTGAAATTGTCCACATGGTACCAAACTGCTCTAACGGTAGCATGTCTATACTGTTAGTGTTCCAGACCCAGTTGCAGCACTGACCAGTTGCAATGCACTGACTAAACTATGGCCAAGGGAGAGGCACAGAGGGCGGTGTGGAAGGCTTACTTCGGCTCAGAGGGGAATTATCCCAGAGTGGCATTAGCTGCTGAGAGCTGCTTCTGAGCTGCCCTCCAACTGGGTTAACCCAGATGCCAATCTGGCCCTTCGCGGCTCTATCCATGGCTGTGACACTCCCCTTTTGCCGAGCGAGCAGCAGGGTGGCCTGGATCCAACTAGAAAGATGCAGATTACAAGATCACAGTCTTTGTGCTTTTGCAAAAAGAGGGTGGGATGGGGGTGGGGAATAAAAATGCATATTGCCTTTTGGGGTCAGCGGTGGCTGGAAAACACCCCCCTCCCCCAAATAACACAAGTCCAACTTACATGGAGAGGAAGCTGACTTATGAGCAGAGGTTTCAAGCAGCACCAATGTATATGTGTGATGGAAATTAAAATGGGGGAGATGAGCATTCTCCATTGGTCAGCAAAACTGAAGAAAGAGAGAGAGAGAGAGGCGCACAAAGTGGCCTATGCAGGTACGTGTACACATATACAATGCAAATGAGATTGAAGGAAGTGGTTTGCCTCTTGAATCTCTCTCTAAACTGACTCTGGATGGTGACCTGGCTGCAGATTAAGCATCTGAGGCCTTACTAATGAACTCTTTAACACACATTTCTATTTCTCTCTCTCTCTCTCTCTTTTGGAAGCAAAGCAAATTGCTGTCAATATTCAGAATTCAGCAAGAAAAATTGCTTTGTTCAGAAAGGTGGCAATGCACAGTCAGCAATGAAGAGACTTTCCTAGAGATCAGAAGGGGCTCTTTGGAAGCAGACAACACCATCCCCAAAACAACAGAGAAGTTCTATCATCGTTGTCGTCATCGCTATTTACTGTACATCTTACAATATAGTTTGATTTAAAAATAAATGACGGAACCACCATCATCTGGACACATCTCCAAAAGCAACATGGATGGCAAATATCAGGTGAACCCAACCCACTGAGTACTTTGAGGTAGCATTGCATGCAGCCTTATACAGAAATAACCCCCCCCCCACATTCTACCCCCCCCCCAAATATGATCTAGCATCTCATTGCATAATATTCTGGGCTGAAAGCTGAGGCTGGGCATCTACCCCTCACACACGGCTTCTCCGAGCGTCACATTTTGATACTTACAGTCCCACCATTCAGGACAACAGCCATCTCGGTGGGCTGATAGACGTTGCTTCGGAAGGGAGCGCTAGGGCGGCTTCCCAAACTGCCGTTGCGAAACCCTGCCGTCCGCAAAGCTGCAAAGCGCAATGGAGAGAAAGGTAGAGGCTGAGAACAGCAACTTTTGGCTTCCTACCTCTGCAAATGTCTTTGGCATGTTGCCCTCCGGAAAAGGGTGAACTGCAACTCCCAACAGCCAGAGCCGAAACACATTGAATATGTCTTAATGGTTTTTAACTGGGAATTTTAAAATAATGTTTATATTTAATCCTGTTTTAAAGTTTGGATATTGGAGTATTTTTAAATTGTGTGCTGATGCTTTTTTGTTAAGCTGTTTTGAGTCTCCTGCAGGAGAGATAAAGCAGGGTATAAATAAATATAAAAACAACAACCAGTGGGAGAATTGGGGCCCAACAACAGCAGATTCATTTCTGATTTGCTGTGGATACAAAAGCCTCATCGCGGTGAGAACATAGGAACACTAACCAAGGAAGATTGGTTTATAAGATTAGTAAGCAAGCATCTCATAACTGGCAATTCAAATCAACTCAATCAGAGTGAGACAGCATACCGCAAGACTATAATTTACTATTGTGTTACTTTATTTATACAACTGGCCCTCTGTATCTACAGGCTGGGCACCCACAGAGTCAACAATTCAGGACTTGTGTGTGTGTGTATATATAAACCCCAAAGGCAAACTTGTACTGTACTTATTGGGACTTGAACATCCATAAGCATCCTATATCCCACTTGCAAACACTCCCCCCCCCCCCCCCCCCCCCGCCAATCTCAGACAAAACATACCAATTTGAGAAACACAGTAGGATTTGTTTAAAATGGCATCACATTTTCTATTGAATTAAAATCACAAAGTTATCGATTTATGACAAAGGGGAATAGTGGCATAGCATAATTATCTTGCAAAACAATGAGTTCCCAATAGCCTGCTGGAATACAAACACCTGCATAAATGATGATAGGACATCAAGGACGGTTCAGAAGGAAGTCCAGCCCATATCATCCCTCCAAAAGTCCCTCTCATCATTATCATCATTATGTTTGCCTGACTATCAAGAAAAAAGTGAGTGCTAGAATTAATAGCATATGAAAGCTGACTGGCACAAACTGGGGATCACAACCAGACACAGTGAAGACATCTGCCCTTGCGCTTTGCTACTCTTCTGCTGAATACGCATGCTCAGTGTGGAAAACATTTCACCACATTAAAACAGTGGATGTGGCTCTTAATAAGACATGCTGTATTATCACAGGATGACTACGCCCAACACCGCTGGAGAAATTATACTGTTTAGCCAGTATCGCACCACCTGACATCTGTCGGGAAGTAGCAGCCAGTAATGAACAGACTAAGGCAGTGACATCCTTGGCCCATCCTCTGTTTGGATATCAGTAAGCAAGCCAACACCTAAATTAAAGAAATATCTTCCTACGATCTACAGAGACACTTACAGGAACACCTCAACAAGCAAGAGTCCAAAAGTCGTAGGCTAAAACCCGGAACATCAATCCATGGCTGATACCAAATGAGAGACTCCCTCCTGGGCACACAGAAAAATGGGCGACTTGGAAGGTGCTGAACAGACTGTGCTCTGGGACCAACCTTAGGAAATGGAGCCACAAAGTGGAGTCCATGACACGTAACTGGATGACAGCAAACCACAGACCACTTACTACAATGCAGTCTGAGCCCTGCCACATGCACAATGGAGGACCTCCTTACAGCCACACCAGGGGCACTCCAAGTGGCCAGCTTCTGGTCAAAGGACATTTAGTATCATGCCAAGTTTTTAATTTCGTTCGTGGTTTTTCTATATATTATAACTGTATTCTCAATTTGCTTTTGACACAATAAATAAATAAATAAATAAATGTTTGTGTTTCTTTATATTCTACTTTTTCTCTCCACAAGGAGACTCAAAGCGGTGTTTCCATCCAATGTGAGAATGGCAGGACTGAAAGAAAAGGCTTAACTAAAGATTTCTTCCAATCGTAGCACTGATGGGTTCAATGCAGGTGAAGAGCAAATAATCTTCACAGAATCCTGCCATGGTTGCCGATTTACAATCTGGTTGGATGCTTCAACAGTAGTGACCTGTAAAACGCTTGATTCCGCTACACATGCCTGATTCTAGTCATTGCAATAAGCCAGAATGCCGTATCGCCTCTCACTCATTAGAACTGGACAGTCAATGCAAACTGATCATGGACAGCCCAAGGCTGCATATTGCTTTAACCCACTACAATCCACAGCAGACAAAGCAGTGTAGTAGGATGGTCTTTTGCATTAAAAAAAAAGACTCACCACACACAAAATGTCCCACACTCACCTGTTGCACAGCACCATCATGGGAAAATGGGTGCCTCTTGTTTGAGGCACATCGCTTTCAAAGTACCCCCTTCTGAATGTGTGTTCGGAAAGCCTGCTAGAAGCCCATCGAGCCAGTTGCTGTCTGACTACAATTCCCATACTCCCATATCTTTGCTGGTTTTGGCTGATCAAAGTGACATGGGCCTCTCATCCATTTTAATCTTCACTGCACCTTTCTTAGACCGCAGTATCCTTCTGAGACGCCTCACAGGAATGAGACTTGGGGGCACTGTTCTGCACTGGCTTCAATCCTTCCTGGAGGGTCACTCTAAGAAGGTGTTATTGGGGGACACCTGTTTGGCCCCACAGCCATTGTCCTGTGGGGTCCCGCAGGGTTCAGTACTGTCCCCCATATTGTTTAACATCAACATAAAGCAGTTGGAAGATCATCCAAAGTTTTGGCGTTCAATGTCATTTGTCTGCAGATGACGTCCAACTCTTCTCATTCCTTTCCACCTACTGCTAAGGAGGCTGTTCAAGTCCTGAACCGGAGCTTGGCAGCTTTGACTGTCTAGATGAGGGCTAACAAATTGAAATTGAATCCAGACAAGACAGAGATTCTGCTGGTCAGTTGAAAGGCCGAATTGGGTATAGGGTTACAACCCGTGCTGGATGGGGCTACACTCCCCCTGAAGACACAGGTTCACAGCTTGGGAGTTCTCCTGGACTCATCGCTGAGCATGGAACCCCAGGTCTCGGCGGTGGCCGGGGAGCAATCGCACAATTAAAACTTGTGCGCCAGCTATGCCCATACCTTGGGAAGCCAGACTTGGCCATGGTGGTCCACGCTCTTGTTACATCCCGAATAGACTACTGCAATGCACTCTATGCGGGGTTGCCTCTGAAGACTGTCTGGAAGCTCCAAATAGTCCAATGGGTGGCAGCCATATTTCTTACTTCAAGGACGTACAGGAAGCATACAACCTCCCTGTTGCATCAGCTCCACCGGCTGCTAGCTTGCAAAAAATGGCACATCTCACCATGAAGGGAAGGACTGTGTTTCCCTTGCTCCACTTTGCAGGAAGTGCTAAATGGTGGGAGGCGACTTCATGGCCCTTATCACTCCTCCCCCTTGTTGTAGCTCTTTTTCTATAAGCTAAACTTGCATGCTATGAAAGAGGACTGTTCTTCCTTCTTCATACAAACCGGACAACTGTCTTCTATTGGGAAAGTTACAAAGCTACTCTAGTTCATGCTCTATGGACTTACTTAACCCCACACACTCGCCCTATGCTAAGAGGGAGGTATACTATCCACTTCAACTAACCCTTGGTGACGTACTGCAAGTTCTCCCAGAGATCTACCAGTGGATCCCAAATTATGGAAATTGCAGTTTAATGGCATCTGGCTGGCTATAATTTGCCCACCTCAATTTGAGACGAAGCCTATCTAAACTTTGGTTCTAAAAGGCTGGGCGGCCACATCTTCTATCTTTCCTGGTCATTGCCTGAGGATGGTAGGTGTTGTCACCTAATTATATTTAGTTGGGGAAAGTTGAGAAAGGGAAGTTTGAACTACTATGTGATCATCATGTGTTTCCTTTCAGTTGGAAATATCATTTCTCTTCTTATTCTTTGGTGCATTTCAAGAATAGGACTAGACTCCACCAAAGCACCTGCTAAAATGAATCACGTCATCTTTAAAGATACCACTAGGTTATTTTTTCCACCATGCCTCTCTTTTCTATGCTGAAAAAGACCAACATGGCTACAGCCTTAAAACCCTACTGGAATGTTTGGCCAATTCATGGTCAAAGACGGGCTCATCTCCCCTCCTCACAGACATAATAATCTGAGGAAAGTGTATGGTTCAGGTCTTACCTGCATTATGCTCATCCATTGAAAAGGCTTTGTTTTCCATGTAGCTCCGTGGAAGCTGTAAATCGTCCTCAAACGCAGTCTCTCGCATGCGCGGTTGTGAAGTGTCAAAATAATTAGGTGTGTTTTCTTGCTGAGATGGAAGGATGGAGCAGTGGACCTCTGGGATGGCGTGAAAGACCACAAAGACCCAACCGCTGGAGACCAGCGCAATGGCGAGCGTTGGGTCCCGCCACTGGTCCCGCCTCCCAAGTTCTTTATTCCCATACAGATACATTGCCAGCCATGCAACCCAAAGCAGGACTGAGAAAAAGCTGGTGAGAATGAGGCACACACCATTCTTCTTCCACTTCTTGAACTTGCCGCAAACTGTGAAAAAAGAAAAGCCCAGAGCCACCACCATCAGAAACATCACATAGATGGACGCCATGGCGAAATCCATCGGCTCGTAATGGCAGGCCAGCTTCCCGTCCCTCACAATGGTCAGTATCAGCCATTCCGTTGCAATAATAACTTGGACCAGGGCAAGGCAGATGGCCGCACCAGCCAGCTGCCATCCGGACGGGCTTTTGCCGTGGCGGACGAGTCTCCGGAGCCTCCAGGCCTGAGCGACCAAGCACGAGAAGCACAGGGCAAAGAGGACCCCCCACAGGAACCTGCGCACGGAGCAGAGAGTCTCGTCTTCCTCGATGATGAAGGCAAACGCCAAGCCAAAGAGTCCCAAGGTCCCAAGAAGGAAGAGGAAATGCACCCCCAGTGGGCTCTTCTTCTCTTTCTCTTTGATGAACGGCAGCCGTGCCAGCAAGATCAGCATGAGAAGCAGTGTGGTCAAGACCCCGGCGCCAGCCACTGCTTCCACAACGATCCCCCAGATAGCATCCAGATCGCAGAGGTACACGTACTGAGGAAGGATGTCCAGTCCGCAGCCTCTGGAGGTGCTGGAGTTCTCAGAGGAGCCATAGCCGACCACGAGGAGGAGGAGGAGGAGACCAAGGGTTGGGAGAGCCACCATTTTTCTTTCTGGAACAAGAAGACCAGGAGATAAAATATAAGAATGAGAGGTTGTTCTTCCCACTTATTCCATTATCCTACACCTCTTAGGACCTTATCACATTGAGATACAATCCATTCGTATCAGTATGGATCCCATATTTTTTTTAGGACTGGATGCATGCTGTATTTAGACAGGATGCAACCTCTCCTTCCTCATAACACCTGATCGTTATTATGATTCTTATAATTGGAAAACACTGTGCTTTGACTCCTCACACCACGGAAGGCTGGCTCCTACTGGTTGTTAGGAATGGTAGGAGTTGAAGTCCAAAACACCTGGTGGGCCAAAGTTTCCCCATGCCTGGTCAACACTGCAATAAATGCAGATAAACGGCATTATGAAACTGCATTATATGGCTGTGTAGATGGGGTCTGGGATCCCCACATTCAAAACTGGAGGCAATTCAATCCCATTTTCGCATCTTAAGTGTGGCGAATATACACTTTGATCCACACCGGTTACGTTGGTTACGGTCCTTTCCGTTTTCTGAAATACTTCTAAAGATAAGGCACATGCTAAGAATTGCCTCGGGAGTGCTCCTTAGTTTTATTCTGGAAACACCATAACCTCATGCTGCTAATTCACACCTAACTCAAAATTATGTATTCACGTTGTTCCGCATAAACCAGACAGGCACGGGAGTTGTGAAATATGTATACTCTGACACCGGAAAAAGTATCGCCCTTGTTTCTATATATTGATGTTTGAAAGAACTGACAACACTCTCACTGTATGAGAACATTTCCTGTTACAGATTTTGTTTCTGGCTTCAAGGAGGAGAACATCCCTCCTTGTTATCATAAGATGTATGGTATCTTTTTTAAAAAAAATCTGTCCCTGTTGGACATTTTGCTTTGCTACTCTGCTGCTGAGGACACATGCCCAGTGTGGAACACATCTCACCATGTTAAAACAGTGGATGTGGCTCTTAATGAGATATGTCGCATTATCACATTATGTCTACGCCCTACACCAATGGAGAAATTATACTGTCTAGCCCAGTGGTTCTCAACCTTCCTAAGGCCTTGACCCCTTAATACAGTTCCTCATGTTGTGTTGACCCCCAACCATAACATTATTTTCATTGCTACTTCAGAACTGTCATTTTGCTACTGTTACGAATCGTAATGGAAATATCTGATATGCAGGATGTATTTTCATTCACTGGACCAAATTTGGCACAAATAGCCGATATGCCCAAATCTGAATATTGTTGGGGTTTGGGGGGATTGGTTTTGTCATTTGGGAGTTGTAGTTCTTGGGTTTTACAGCTCACCTACAATGAAAGAGCATTCTGAACTCCACCAACGATGGAATTGAACCAAACTTGGCACACAGAACTCCCATGGTCAACAGAAAACACTGGAAGGGTTTGATGGGCATTGATCTTGAGTTTTGGAGTTGTAGTTCACCTACATCCAGAGAGCACTGTGGACCCAAACAATGATGGAACTAGACCAAACTTGGCACAAATATTCAATATGGCCAAATGTGAAAACTGGTGGAGTTTGGGGAAAATAGACCTTGACATTTGGGAGTGGTAGTTCCTGGGATTTATAATTCACCTACCATTAAATCTGATCCCTACCAATCATAGAATTGAGCCAAACTTCCCACACAGAGCCCCCATGACCAACAGAAAATACTGTGTTTTCTGGTGCACTTTGGCGACCCCTCAGACACCCCCTCACAACCCCCTCAGGGCTCCCGACCCCCAGGTTAAGTAATGCTGGTGTAGCCGATATTGCACCACTTGACAGATAGTGGCAGCCAGTAATGAAAGGACCAAGGTATTGACATCTCAGGCCCATCCTCTGTTCAGCCAGCATGCCAATGCCTTAAATCAAGAGATACTTGCAAGAACACCTCAGCAAGCAAGAGTCCAAAACTGGCAGGTAAAAACCCTGAACCTCAATCAGTGGCTGAGCCTGGATGAGAGACTCCCTCCTGGGCACATAGAAGACTGGGCGACTTGGAAGGAGTTGAACAGACTGCACTCTGGCACGACGAGATGCAGAGCAAATCTTAAGAAATGGGGCTACAAAGTGGAGCCCACAACATGTGAGTGTGGAGAAAAACAAACCACAGACCACCTACTACAATGCAGTCTGAGCCCCGCCACATGCACAATGGAGGACCTTCTTACAGCCACACCTGAGGCACTCCAAGTGGCCAGCTACTGGTCAAAGGACATTCAGTATCATGCCAAGTTTTTAATTTCGTTTGTGGTTTTTCTATATATTATGACCGTATTCTCAATTCGCTTTTGACACGATAAATAATTAGACATTTGTAAAGATGCAACTAACCAATATCAAATATACTATCCCCATTTTTTTCTTTTTCCTTCCCTTGCCCCATTCACTCTCCTAGTAAATCTATATATATCTATATCTATCTATCTATCTATCTATCTATCTATCTATCTATCTATCTATCTATCTATCTATATAATAAAAGTCAAAGTTTGTATGCGGAGGACAAAAGTGTGGCGGTGTGGCGGTGTATGTGCCAGCATTCTGATTGGCCACCCTGAAAGTTCCAAGATTCTGATTGGCTGCCGCTGTGGTGCTATTTGCATATGGTCTCTGATTGGCCAGCTTTACAGGAGCCCCTGGTGGAGAAAAGGGTTCATGACAGAAACGGAGACATGAGAGAAGGAAATTTGCATATGGTCTCAGATTGGCCAGCCTCAATTCTTGAGACCACTGCAACCCTCATCCAATTACTGATAAAGACCAAACTTGGTACATTGAGTCTCCATGGCGCACTCTACATCCTGGTGCAGTTTGGAGGACGATGCACCATGGACGATGGGACTTGCAATACCTGCACAACCTTCCTAAGACCATTACAACTGCCAACAATGATGGATCAGGACCACAATTTACACAGAGAGTCCGCATGACCCACTCTACATCCTGGTGCGGTTTGGAAGAATTTGTCAATGGATGATGGGACTTGCAGTCACTTCACTCACTTCCTGAGACCACTGAGACCCTCGCCAATGTCTGATCCAGACCAAACTTGGCACACAGAGTCCCCATGATCCACTCTACATCCTGGTGCACTTTCGAGGAGGACAGACCATGGATGATGGGACTTCAAGTACCTCCACTCCCCAAGACTGCTGCAACCCTCATCTAATGTCTGATCAAGACCAAACTTGGCACACAGAGCCCCCATGACCCACTCTACATCCTGCTGCAGTTTTGGAAGAGGCCAGACGATGGATGATGCGACTTCCAGTACCTTCACTCACATTCTGAGACCTCTGCAAACCTCATGCAATGACTGATCAAGACCAAACTTGGCACATAGACCCCTCATCACCCACTTTACGTCCTGGTGTCATTTGGAAAAAATTGGAGATGGATGATGGTACTTGCAGTAACCTCACTCACTTTCTGAGACCACTGAGACCCTCACCAATGACTAATCAAGACCAAACTTGGCACACGGAGCCCCAATGACCCACTCTACACCCTGGTGCAGTTTGGAGGACAGACCATGGATGATGGGACTTCAAGTACCTCCACTCCCTTCCCAAGATTGCTGCAACCCTCATCTAATGACCGATCAAGACCAAACATGGCACACACAGCCCCCATGACCCACCCTACATCCCGGTGCTGTTTGAAGGATGGACAATGGATAATGGGACTTGCAGTACGTTAACTCACTTCCTGAAACCATAGCGACACTCATTCAAAAACCAATAAAGACCAAACTTGGAACAGAGAGCCCCCATGGCCAACTCAACATTCTGGTGAGGTTTGGGGGAGTACAGACTATGGATGATGGAACTTCAAGTACCTCCACTCACTTCCCAAGACCTCTGCAACACTCATCTAATGACCGATCAAGACCAAACTTGGCACACAAAACCCCCATGACCCACTCTCCATCCTGGAGCAGTTTGGAGGAGGATGGACCACAGATAATGGGACTCACAGTACCTTCACTAACTTCCTGAGACAACTGTGAGTCATATAAATAACTGATAAAGACCAACCTTGATACACAATTCCTTTCTCAAATAACCTGGGCAGCGCCGGGTCCCCAAGCTAGTCTAAATAATAAAAGAGAAAGTTTGTATGTGGCGGTCAGAAGTGCGGCAAAAGTGTGGCAGGAGGAGTATGTGCCAGCATTCTGATTGGCTGCCACTGTGGTGCTATTTGCATATGGTCTCTGATTGGCCAGCTTCAATAGGAGCCCCTGGTGGAGAAGAGGGTTCATGACAGAAACGGAGACATGAGAGAGGGAAATTTGCATATGGTTTCTGATTGGCCAGCCTCAATTCCAAGATTCCAAGATGACAAAGAGATGACAGGAAAAGGCCAGGGGCTCTGTCAGAAAATTACCAATACAGACCAAACTTGGCACACAGAGCCCCCATCACCCACTCTACATCCTACTGCAGTTTGGAGGAGGATGAACCATGGATGTTGGGACTTGCAATACCATCACTCACTTTCTGAGACCGCTGTTGACCTCATCCAATGACTGATCAGGACCAAACTTGGCACATAGACCTCTCATGACCCACTTTATGCCCTGGTGTGTTTTGGCCAGGGATGGACCATGGATTATGGGACTTGCAGTACCTTTGTTCAATTCCTGAGACCTTGCAACCCCCATCCAATTACCGACAAAGACCAAAGTTGGCACACTGAGTCACCATGACACACTCTACATCTTGGTGCAGTTTGGAGGAGGATGCACCATGGATGATGGGACTTGCAATACTCCCTTCCTAAGACCATTACAACTGCCAACAATGATGAATCAGGACCACAATTCATACTGAGAGCCCGCATAACCCACTCTACATCCTGGTGCAGTTTCCAGCAGGATGGACCATGGATGATAGGACTTGAAGTACCTCCACTCAATTCCCAAGACTGTTCCAACCCTCATCTAATGACCGATCAAGTCCAAAGTTGGCACGCAGAGCCCGCGTGAC